AAAGTCAGCTGTTGTTATTTACACCAGATGTGAACAGCAAGTGCCAACCGAAGACAGCAAGGCTCAGCTACTTACAGCATCTTACAGCAGATAGTTTAGACAAGCGCAAATAAGACCTTCTACCAACAACTAACATCTCAAATTTAGTGTGATCGTTAGACCTCAATTCCTCATCATAGGCATCAAAACATACAGCGCGCTATAATGGAGCATTAAAAGCTGGTCTACTTTATATCTTACTGCAGTGTCACATATAGAAAAGGGAAAACAAATAGATATACTGCAGAATTTAACAGCACTGTGCAAATGTTTTAGGCAGTAAACGCTTAGTAAGGATGCTTGGAAAATTCTGAGTTTTTCATTTATCAATTCACTTCAGGAAAAAAAAGAAATCAATTCATTATTTTGGCACGGCCACACTATCACACAACAGCACCGGCTCTCCTATCTCGACTCATGCACAGTTTAACAAGCTTCTTGGCAGGTAGGTTGTTTTTGGCATCTCGGAGCGTTTGCCACACTTCTTCTGTCTCGGTGTGTTTTCTGTCTCTCTCCGTGTAATCTGAGACCGACTCTGCGATGCTGAGATCGGGGCTCTGCGAGGGCCAGAACATCCGTTGCAGGGTTTCTTGTTCTGCTCCTGGCTGGACACGGTTCTTGCTGACTCTTGCTGGATGTTTAAGGTTGGCTGTCATGTTGCAGAATTTATGTGGTAGCCATCAAATGTCTCTCGCTGAAGACACTGTATGATGGATAAGAATTTAAACATTTACAGTGCCTAAAACTTTTGCGCAGCGCCGTATATATTTTTTAAAACAAGAAAAGGACACACAGCCTCCAGCTTCATCCCTAAAGCCAAAGTTGGCGTTACCTTTCTTTACTATTTCAGTATTTCAGTACAAAATCTGTAGCCAGTGCTGTGGAATTTAGTTAAATCTGTCACTACATCTGGCTATAATACACAGCATTTCTAAAACATATGACTGTATTTGCCGTACACACACACATACAGCACCGCAGCTGCACACAAGTACAATTCAGCATGTGTGGCCTTTTTTTTTTTTTAAAGGTAATGTATTAACAATCTGGCTCAACAGGCCTCGTTCACATAGGCAGCATGCGAAGACCGATAAATTCTGATATACTATTCCAATTCTGAAACATGAGATGATTACTATTAGGTGGAAAAAAAAAAAAAAAGGGTCCCTTAAATGTCCTCCAGTAATGTCACCACTGATGGCGAGTCATAAAAGGTCATAAACCTCTGTGGCGTCCTAAGTTAAAGATCATCAATAATTTACTTCCGTCTCCTCGCTTCCTGCATTCTCTCACCAGCCCTGACTGAAACTCGACTTTCCAGATATAGGAGAGGCAAATACAACCCCAAATTCCTTCCGAGCAGCTCTGGCGCTGGTTAAACTGTGGTCGTGATTCTTGTTTATTTACTATTTACAGACTAACATTCATCACTGGTCGATTAGAAAGCCTATATTTTAACATTAATATTTAAAGGGAACAGAAGCCTGAGGGTGGGATCCACTAAAATCTTAATTTTTCTCCATCAATAAGCCAATCAAAGACTCAAATCACTTGCTACTGTCTTATATGCAGAGTACAACCTGGTGCGTTAAGGTCTTACTTGGTATTAAACCGTTTGCACGGCCTTTTGACATCCTGGTTCCGAGTATCCTCAGTGCCATGAATAAAACATACAGCGGGGTATTCCTGTCTACCTGCGATGCCCGGCCCACTGACAGAACAGTTTCTCTGCAAAAAAACGTATGAAACAGATTTGGCCCTCAGCTGCCCTGAGAAACACACTGTTGTCCAAAGACAGCGCATCATCTGGAAATGTCATATTCTAACCTTCATTTGCTAGATTATCTCAGGCACCACAAATAGAATTACAAACTGAACACTTATTCAAATTAATATTAAAAACTTAAAGCAAACTATTGTTCAGGTGCACAAAATATTACAGCATTTGCAACCTTTACACAACAGCTTTAGTCAATAGAACAGTTTGATTAGAAGCCCTCAAAAAGCAAAACAAAAAGCTCAACCTGTGCAAAAAAAAGGACAGCAACTCTCGCAGCGTCTGCCTTTACAGCCAAATGTAACAGCTGTTGCAATATTACATCACCACCTATGCATGCCACTGTAGGAGAAGTTACCACATACGCCGAGGTTATTCGGACCACAATTAAAGTTTTAAGGGGTGATGCACTTTCTCTGAACACCAGTGTGGTAGAGTCAGCAAAACAGTGGGAAGTGATGATCCAAATACAGTGAGAACCAAAGCTGTGAGAAAGAAAATCCAGTGTCTCACCGTGACAAGCTGTAGCTGACTTAAATGTCACATTGGTGAACCAGTGAAGAGGAAGTTACTGCTTTACCTTATAGCTGTGTGCGTTCTCTAAAGTGTTCTATGCTCCAAATGTAAGATGCCAAATAGGATGTTGTCATACTTTTATTTTGCACATCACTGTCTAATTTTTTTTAAATGGCTGGTCTAGGCTCAGATGAGTTAATCATCCCAAAGGGTGTCATAGGTGAGGACAACACATTCCTTTGTTTCTGCTAACTATCATAACTTGCACTGTGGCTGATTAAAACTCAGCTCAGTGTTCACCACACACGTGATACAAAAATGCAATACAAAGAGCGTAGCTTGCATCATAGCCCCGTAACACGGTTTACTCTCCATCCATCCTGAACAGATACAGGCTACGTTAAAACAAATGACACAACATTAAAACCACCTGCTTAATGTTGTGTAGGTCCCCCTTTGTGTCACCAAAACAGCTTTATCCTGTCGACGCATGTTCTCCACAGACTACTCAATGTGTCCTGTGGTTATTAGCAGATCTGTCAAGTCGTCCAAGTTGTGAGATGGATCAGACTTGTTTTTCCAGAGCATCCCACAGATGCTCGATCAGACAGATATTTGGGAATTTGGAGGCCAAGTCAACACCTTGAACTCTTTGTTGCAAGTGTGGCAGAGTGCATCATCCTGCTGGAAGAGGAATCAAGCCATGAAGGGGTGAATGTGGTTTGCAAAGTGTTGACTGGTGTCACGGGAACACCCACATGAGAGCCCAAGGTTTCCAAGCAGGATACTGCACATTGCATCATAGTGAAACCCTGCATCATCTCTTTCTCATGTAAATGGCTGCATCCACATGATGCTGATTCATCAGGGCGGGCCACCTTCCTTTATTGCTTCGTGCTCCATGTCTGATGCTCACATGTCCATCGCAGGTGCTTTCAGTAGTGGACAGGGGTCAGCATGGGCACGCTGGCAGCAGGCCTGTGATGCTCAGTGCATTCTACCACAGCAGCATTAAGGTTCAGCCTTTGCTCTCCACATGTCAATGAGATTTCAGTGCCCACGACCCTGTCACAGGTTTTACGAGCTGTCCTTTTTTGGACCACTTTTGGGAACCGCCGCATACCATGAACACCCTACAAAACCTGCCACTTTGGAGCTGCTCTGACCCAGTCCTCTCAGTTTAGCCTCTGTCTGAGTCACTCAGATCCTCACGCGCCTCCATTTCTCCTGCTTCCAACACGTCAACTTCAAGAGCTACCCTTTCACTCGTCCCCGACACATCCCACCTCTTGACAGGTGCCACAGGAATGAGATAATCAATGTTATTCATGTCACCCGTCAGAGGGATCTGGGACTACTTGTGATGCATTTGTTTTGAATTTAAGACATTTTTTTCATTCAATCACTGAGACGTGTCCATGAATTTCACAATATTTTTTGTATTTCCCCTTTTGCTCTATTAGCTACATACACCAGAGCTGCACTGAATGCACAAGTGTGTGTAAAATCTAATAATTGATGTTTTTTTCCGGCTTCACTGGTAAGTTTGACGAGTCATTCACCATGTATCAGCCCACCTGAAGCCTCTAACCTTGATTTCTTTCCTCAGAAGTGATTTAGAGATACTCTGGGTCCAGAAGTACACAACCTCCTATGTTTGCTGATCGGAGTCTTGCATTCTTTATCAACGTCTTAATCTGTGATGAAGTCTCTTTTCTATCTCCGAACAAAGCTTGACAAATAGATGATCTACCCGCGTGGTCACCTTTGGCAAGTCTGAACACGTGTTTAAATGGGAATTAAAATGGTCATTGCTGCCCAGAACAAAGTGCACTTTTAAACACATTTCCCTCCATTTTTTACATATTTCTCCTTCATTTTATGCGCCATAACTTCCTGTGTTTTTAAATGTTTCAGCCATTTTGAATGTTTAAAATGCTTCAGCCGGCTCTTTTCCATATTTATGAGGCCCATATTTCCCAATCTTTCTCCATTTCACAGCCATACTTCTCACATTAACAGACCAAACTGCCATCCCCACAGGGATACAGCACTGTCCACTCTTATCAGCGCGCTGGAATTTGAGACTGATCTCGGAATTTGAGAGGTGAATGAATTGACAAAGTGCTGGCATCCTCATCGAGACAGTCATTCATGCAGTCGATAAAAGGCGCGGAGGACTATATCCTCGACTTCTGATGGGCGAACCTTGAGAGTGAGAGCATCTTTCATTAATGAATTGAAGTTGGAGCAACCTGGCTGTGCACTAATGATATCCATATGTCTGTCTGTGGCCTTAAGACTGGGCATTAGAGCAGAGGAAGCCCATTCATATCTCAGAGACACTTCAGACTCTAGTTTTTTTTTACTGCAGGATCTCTCAGACAAGCCTCTGCATGCATGCAGAGAAGCCATAGAGGCAGACACACAAAAAAAAGCCAAACAAATGTCTAGGAATTACAAACACGCCCGAATAATGAATTATGCGGCGTTTCTGTATAGATTAAAGCTTTCCACCAGCAGTGTAAATGTTTCCCAACGGGAGGCTACAAGCTCCTGGTGGTTTGACTTCGAGGAACCATTCAGAGTCAGCAGTGAATGCATCCTCTAATTGCGCGTCTCCTGCGGGTTTCAGGTAGTTTACTTTCCGTCGCGTTGGTCTACTTACTCTTGAGCGCAGTGATGAGCATGTTTCCATCCTTGATCAGCTCTTTGATGAATTTATTTGTCCGCTCCAGCTCGATTTCATGGCATTTGAGTCGCTCTCTGAAGTCCGGACTGTCTAGGAAAGAGTCACTGAACTCCAAAGTGGGGAGTCCCATTGTCTCTCAACGCTGCGTTTTTTTGGGGGGTTTCTTTTTACGCACGGCAACTCGGCACATGAAAGTTTGTACTTTGCATCACGCAGCGCCGATCTAACGCCAACTTCTCCAAGTTCCCCCCCAAAAAACTTTTCCTGCTCCGCTAAGTTCCTCCCTTCCGCTTTGATTGAGAGTTTTTCTCTTTTTTTTTTTTCTCCTACCTTTCTTAAAACCAGTGGTCGTATGACTCCTGCTGGTTAGTTTTGGATAATTTACAACAGCTGAACAAGGCGCCTCTGTCCATCCCAGACATCCAAGGTCTACTTTTCATCCTCTTCAAAGTGAAACTATATTTTTTTAAAACATAAAACCGCAGCAGTGTTTAATACAATTAGGATAAAAGCAAAAAAATAAAAAAAGACAGTTTTATGGGTGTATTTATGAGATTTTGGAGCTCCTAAATAGAATATAACCCCCATCCTCCTTCATACCTCATGGATTTTAACCACAAATCACTGCTGGAAGGAAACTTGAACTGAATTTATATTTAGTTTCCATGCAAGTGCAAAAAAACAGTACAAAACCACAAGACAATAGAGCATAAACACATACTAATTTTATGAGGAAATAGCAGCCAAGATTTCCAAAGCACCATTTTTTATTTTTTTTAGCATCAGAATGCTGCTTGAGACCTGCCAAATATGTTATTATTGGCAGAAATTTGTGACAAATTTAGTTGATGCTTCACATCCAAGAATCCTCCAGCAGGCTTCTTCATTCATTCACAAAACATTTGAATCTTTACTCTAATTAAAGACATATTTTTTTTCGGTGACACTACATTTTAACCTTTGACCTCACTATGTTTTGGTGAAATATTACCAGCGGACCTACTTTTCAAAAGTTCTAAACTGTATCCCGGGTTGAAATTATGGGTGACAACGCATCACAGTGGTATTAGTGAGAGCTTGTGGAAAGGGATCTGAATTAATACCTCGGTAAATGGAAGTAATTAAAGCGGAGCCTAATTGGAGTCAGGAATTTGTCACATTCTCTTCATGCAACAGGGAAGGACGGTGATAATAATGTCAAACTCCAAATGAGTACATTGGTAGTCATGAAGCAGAGGCTCTGTTGTCACCGGTGGCACTAAGTCTTTTGGATGACTCTTTCTACTTACGGTGCTTTACAGCGTCGGGGGGGCCGAGGAGAGGCTTTATCGCTGAGCGGAGTGTGAAAACAATATCAGTGGAGAAGAGAGGATGTTGCAGCATTTGCTAGAACCAACACACACAAGCGAGAATGCATTAATAACTTAATGCTTCACAGTCACGAGCAGACCGGGAGCTTTTTGCTCGGCTGCGTTTGAAAGGTAGCCTTGTTCCGATAACTAACTAGCAACCTTTCCTAACAAGATACCTGCTTTGACTCCAGGAGCGGTGAGATAAATCATCGCGGACAGATAACCTTCCTGGGCAACGTTGTGCGGCCGCAGCTGAGTTGTTAGTGTGCGTTAGCGTCATGTTCCAGCGACGGCCGGTAGGCCTGTGGTCAAAGTGCATTTTCAACACAGATTGCAATAAATTTTTATATAAACTGATCACACAACATTAAAAGCACCAAGCATGATCATGTCTTTGCAATCCAGTGTTCTAATCCTCAGGTTCCTGGCATTCATTAGCAACTATTAAGTCAATACAATGTGCAATATTTAATTTTTCATGTGCAGTATTTCATTAGCACATCACTGATCATTGCCAGTATTGCTTTTCACCTTTAGTAATGTATTTTTCTACCAGGCACTGCATTTCCTAATGTTATGTAATGTTGTTTTTTCTGAGCAATAGCCGGCAAAATAATGTCCTTCTGGATTCATGAATTCCTTTTTATCTTATCTTCCTGTGGATGCCACTTTGACTCGTACCGCTCACGTAAACGTCGGTCCAGACTGAGCAAACCCCACCAGAACATCAATTCCTGACAGCAGCAGCCTCCTGCAGCAGCACAATGCACCCTGTCACAAGCAAAAGCTGCCCAAAAACCACTTGAGGGACATGAAAAAAAAGAGCCCAAGGTGTTGAATCCGCTTCCAAACTCGCATCTTCAGCATCTTGGTACCAGACATCACCGGCTGCAGAGTTAATGGCTAACTGAGAAATATCTTGAAAACAGGGATATGAATCAGCAATCATGATGTGTTTGATATAATAAATAACCAAACAGCAAAGTATCAGATCTGAAAGGCACAATGGATATAAATTAGAGTACATAAGTTCCCAGCATAGGGTCATGCTGGCTCTTCTGTTTGGATTACCTGCATTCCCTGATGATATAACCCAGCCCTGTCTTCTGCTGCCCCTTGCTAGTTATTGTTTCACCTCTGATTTTAGTTGCTATCTATAGGGCTGCCTATTTCTGACTCTGCAACCCACATATGCAAATGCGTCAGATGTGGCAGAGGAGCGAGCGGCGCTCAAACAGCTGTAAGGACGTGGAACTGGAACAAAGGCTGGCCTCTGGCTGCACCTGAGGAATCAGCAAACAGCGGCAGCATCTGCGTCCTTACACGCACGCTTTAACGGTGATGAAATCTCAAGTCTCGTAATGAAACGGAAACCTTGAGTGATTCATTCAGAGGTAAAAAAAAAAAAAAAACTCTCATCGTGTCCACAACTAAAATTCCCATTAAATTTGCATGTGACAAAGCAGGCCGGGGATCCCACTTTGCCCGGGGATGTGTGATTATTGCAGCTGTAATAATGTCCTTGCATGCATTATCCATTTGGTGGGACATGACCGTGGGAAAAGCAAAGGTTCAGTGAACAGGTAATGCTCCACAAATAAAGCTAAATAATAGTGCATTCCAGCCATATGCCGCTTTTGAAGAAATTATGCAGAAAAGCAGCCTAAAATGCTGCCTTAACAACACACCAGTGGAGACTTGAGGACGAGTGGTTAGCTGTATGAAGCATGGCTAATTGCAATCTAAAATAGCTGCCTGTAGAGTCTTTGAGGGAAATTTGGTTTAATTAAGATGATACTCAATAGAGAACTGTGCCTGTGTACTCCTCTCTCATAAAGGCACGTTCGTATTAGTCATGCAAACATGAGTCTGCTGAGAGGCAATGCACATATCTTTCTCTGTGACTGCACCTATGAAGACCAACCAAGAGCCATAAAGAGACCGCCCCGGAGCAGGCAGGCACACAAAAAAAAACCGCACACATGCTCGCACACCACCACACAGGCTTTTTGCACACACTAAGTGAATGAGACATCTTTCACATATCGCACAAGAGGGGGAAGAAATTAGATGTGAGACACACATCTTCCCACGTCCTCACTCTTGTTCTCACTGCATTAAACGGGGCCACTCTGGCAGCTTCGGATGGAATGGGGGGAGAGAAAAAAAAGACTTGGATTTCACAATGATATCAATAATCCACGCGGAATAAGCATCGATTAGCTCGGCAATGAGTTATGCACGAGTCAGGCGGCTCCTGATTAGATTTCCTCTGATATCGCTGCATCACACAGCGGGGCGGTCGGCGGTGGCGAGGAGATGTCTGGCCTCCTTGCGGTGGGAGAGGTGGGGGGTTGTTGGTTCCTAACATGCCCCACGTCAATTCCAGCTCTCGTGCCATCATTCTGCAGCAGCAGCAGCAGCAGCAGCAGCCCTTGGGGGTGCAGTTTGTTACGTTGACACAGCGAGCAGAGAAATGTAATACATTAGTGGAAACCCTGTTGCTTCCAGTTAATTGCTGCGTGCGCTCTGCAGCACTGAACTGGGTTATTGGGTGAAAGATGATGGCTGAGATGGACGATGAAGAAGAAAAAAAAAAATTCTGCTCGATTCACAGCTCTCAATTTTCCATCCGAAAGTGCCGAGATGATAGAGTTTGAGATGTCACACTTGACATGTGTGCCGCTTGGTCAGGATGCAGCCGACAGACATTTTATATCGTCTGGATGTAAGAAAGCATCAGATATAAGTCGATTTAAGGATCTGCTGTTAATTATTTTTCAAAAATAGACAAGATTAGATAACTAGACTTCTTGTGATGGCAATTACCTCCAAATAATATGAGCTGTTTTCCCCCAATTAACAATTGACACCACCATGCATACTCTTCCCTTAAATCAGGAATTAAGGTAATTGCACAATTTCCGGGTGGCACTCAGCTTAGTTCCAGAGGAGAGCTTTCGTGAACAAGACCTGTCACTGTTTTCCTTGCTCATGATTAATGACCCTAATTTAGGAGTTTTTTTTTAATCCAATCATGCGCTGACATTTCCTATCAGATGAGTCCTTCCTCATTCGTCCCGTTGTTTACCTCCTGACAGTGCAATCTGCCTAAGTGGCAAGCGCTGGGCTCTCGTTTATGACTTCCATGTCCAGATGACGTTTGAGCAGTTATGCGCGATTACCTCTTCTTTACACAAAGAGGCGTCTCTGAAGCATGGACTGTCCACAGGGATTCCATTTATTGCTTTTCTCTGCACAGTGAAAATTGGGATGGTAAGCCCTTTCTCTTTTTTTTCTCTCTCTCTCTCTCTTTTTGCTTGAAATGCCACGGCCGGAGTTGAATCTGGTGTCAGGTAAAGGACACATCCCCGGGAAAATGCAAGAGCGAGAGAGTAAATGCAATCCAGCACACATGAAAGCCTCGTCTGCCTCTCTGCATATGTAGCTCTTGACTTACAAATCTTCTCAGGCCACATAAGAAGGCTTGTCCTCAGGAGCAAAGCGGTTTTATTTTTTTTCATTGACCTTCGTAAGGTGATACCTGTCCAAGGCGGACCCCAGGCGCAAATTTAAGTCCAGGGTGATAAATTACAAGAGCTGCTCCACCAGCTTTTGTAAGCAAACTGTTGGTGTGCTTCGCAAGGACTTTGGCGCTAATTTGGAGCAGCAGAAATTCAAAAAGAAGCCTCTTAACCGCGGCGCGCCCCCGTCGAGACGGATAAACTACTCTTTGACACCTTCATCTCTTGGCCCCACGCTGGGAGGATGTTTTTGGTACAACACCAATCACTGAGAGGAAAAAAAAAATCTGTGGCTAAACTGTGGAGCAGAGCAGAGAATAGAGCGCTTAAAAGATTTTAGAGTTACTACACTAGAGAGAAGCCTTTGTTCTTATTTTT